CAGGAGGATCGTAGTTCAAAGCCAGCCTCTGCAAATAATTCGGGAAACCCTATCTCGAAATACCCTCCACAAAAAATGGGCCATTGCTCAAGGAGCAGGCCCTGAGTTCAAGCCCCAGTACAGCAAAAAAAAAAAAAAAAAAAAAAAAAACCTCTTCATGTTGAAACTATTCAATTACATTAATAGTGCAGTACACTATTAAGCACTATATGAAAAATGTGGAATCTACAGTCTACTGTCTCCAAGCAGCTATAGATACACAGGTGCTATTGATCTATTAGTTGGATACAGTACTATTTGTAATTATTACATGGATCATCTGTAACTGCTTGTGAAGCAAACATTTGTCACATAGCAAAATGTTTAGAATAGGAAAGTTGACACATAATAGCTTTGATGTTTCACTAAAATCAACTTTAGATACCAGGCTGCAGATACAACCTATTGATGTGTGGTCGGTCTCCAGAAAAATGTGGTTTATGATTTGATTAAATTAAAAAAAAAAAAAAACCGCCTCACCCCCAAACTTCCTGTGTGTGTTGACAAATTTATCTTTTGTGACCAGCAAGGTGACATGGCCCAACTGTTTGTGGCCTCGGAAGTATCTTCATGGGGTGGGGTGTAGGTTCAAAAGTGGTTAGGACAGAAGGGGCGGAAGGTTCAGCTGAAAACGCAGTGGCATCAGTTGGTGGCTAGGGACCCGTCTAAGGGGAAGCATCCGAATCTCTGTCAAAGCTGTGGTTCTTGGAGGAGTCCGGACAGAGACCTAAGCAGCTCTCAGTGGACGCGATCGAGCCACCTGTCAGACAAGAGCCTCCCGGAATTGAAACTGGGGCGGAGGAGGGCGGCAGGGGCCCCAGAGGAAGACTGCGGGGAAGCGGATCTCAGTTGGGGAGGAACTGGGGGATGGAAGGGCTGCGCTAAACCGCAGAAGTCTTCACGTGGTCTCCAGAACCCCCCTGGGGCACGCGGTGGGTAGGTAGGCTCGGCTGCACGCTCCTCCCCTGAGCCTTTCAGCTCCTCCTTCCAGACACGTGACCGCAGCCGGCTGGTCTCTTCGCTTCTGCAGCATAGCTCGCTCTGTTTCTTCCCTCCCGCCGCTGGGCCCTTCTTCTCCCCGGTTCCCATCCCTCCGCCCTCCCCCACATCCTTCCTCATTCGCCAATCGGAGCTCGAGTTTGGAAGGGCCCGCCCCTCCGCCATTTTCTTCGCTTGTTCATTGGCTGAAGCCTCAAGGACGCGTCCCGAGGGCGGGTGGCAGCCATTGGTGGGATGAGCAATCCGAGTTCCCGGATGAGGGAACATTCTGCAGTATAAAGGGAGCGGGGAAGGCGGGAGACAGCGCAGTTTGAATCGCGGTGCGACGACGGAGTAGGTGGTGGGATCTCGCTGTGTGTTGGACTAGCCTTTTCTCTGCCTTGCTTGTTTGAGCTTCAGCAGAATTCGAAATGGTAAACTTCGCAGATACGCTTGGTAACTCCGCGGGTTTTTGCCGGCGGGAGAAAAACCCGTTACACAGGGGGATGGGAATGAAGTGACGGTTGGGAACGCGCGGAGATAGGATTTGGACGAGCGGGGGGAGGTGTTTTGTTGGCTACGGACGGAGCAGCCTCGGATCTCGCGGCGGGCGGCGACGGTTGGGTGGCGCGCGCAGCGCCGCTGGGGGCCGGCGGGCGGGCGGAGGCGCGCGGCCGCGGAGGGCGCGCGGCGGGGGCCGGCGGGCGGGGTCGCCCTTGCGTCGCGCGGCGGGCCGGAGACCCCGGCGGGGCGCGGGGACGCGCTCGCGCCCGGGACGCGCCGCGGTGGGGGAGGGGCGCGCCGCCCTGGTAATTCTATATTTTCCGTTCCTCCTCCGCGGTCGGGCGTCTGCGCGCCGCAGGCTGGTGGTAAGGCTGGGAAGGACTCCGGAAAGGCCAAGACAAAGGCGGTTTCCCGCTCGCAGAGAGCCGGCTTGCAGGTAGGCAGTTGATCCTGCAATCTGAGTCGTGGCGTCTGTCTTTGCATCACTTTCTTGTTTATCATAGCATTAGATGGGCGTTTGGTCTGCGTGGTTGATGTGTCGCGACTTGGCCTGCCGATACGATAAAGGGGGGGCGTCGATCACGTGTGTAGATGCTAGGGCCCATTGCAGCACCACCATCCATGCCCCTTTGGCGCGCGTGTTGTTTTCCCGTCTTTGATTCTTACCGTTGTGCATTTGTGTTTGTGTGCTTAAAATTAAGTTCCCAGTGGGCCGTATTCACCGACACCTGAAATCTAGGACAACCAGCCATGGACGTGTGGGCGCTACTGCCGCCGTGTACAGCGCAGCCATCCTGGAGTACCTCACCGCAGAGGTAAATGGGTGTACGCCTGTAATCTGGAAAAGCTTTGTGGGGCGGGGGAAAGCGGAGAGAGGGAAGAAGGAAAGTGATGCAAGAAAACTCTCGGGCCGCGAGCTTCGAGCGGACTAAGCGGACGCTAGAGGGAGCTAGTGCTCAATAAGGGAGCCCAGGGAGCTTGGCTGTGCAGCTCTTGGAAATAGCATTGCTTGCTTCTTGAATAGCTTTGGCATGTCTTGCTATTCAGGTGCGGGGGGGAGGGGGGCGCGGCGACACTGGTAGGTTTACATTCGTTAAGGTTTGATAGTTGTCTGTTGAAGATCGATTCTATTCTGCCTTCTAGGTACTTGAACTGGCAGGAAATGCATCAAAAGATTTAAAGGTAAAGCGTATTACCCCTCGTCATTTGCAACTTGCTATTCGTGGAGATGAAGAATTGGACTCTCTCATCAAGGCTACAATTGCTGGTGGTGGTATGTAATTACTAACGTTTCAAGTCCCTTTAGAAAAGGAGAATTCTTTGCTTTAATTTCGATTAGTTCTAGAAGACATTCAAATATATTTTCACTGTTGCAGTATTTTCATGAAATTTGGTTTATGTATGTAATTGAATCTTCATATTTGAACTTAAAGACATTCTAAGTGGAACAATAAGCTACCTTGGTTTCATGTACTGAGATTTACAGTTAATCTCTGTCACTTTCCTAGGTGTCATCCCCCATATCCACAAATCTCTGATTGGGAAGAAAGGACAACAGAAGACTGTCTAAAGGATGCCTGGGTTCCTTCTTATCTCAGGACTCTAAATACTCTAACAGCTGTCCAGTGTTGGTGATTCCAGTGGACTGTATCTCTGTGAAAACACAATTTTGCCTTTTTGTAATTCTATTTGAGCAGGTTGGAAGCTTAATTAGCTTTCCCACCAACCAAATTTCTGCATTCGAGTCTTAACCATATTTAAGTGTTACTGTGGCTTCAAAGAAGCTATTGATTCTGAAGTAGTGGGTTTTGATTGAGTTGACTGTTTTTAAAAAACTGTTTGGATTTTAATTGTGATGCAGAAGTTATAGTAACAACATTTGGTTTTGTACAGACATTATTTCCACTCTGGTGGATAAGCTCAATAAAGGTCATATCCCAAACTAGTTGTTTTAAACTTGTTTGATTGTGATAGGAACTTGTTTCCTTTGAAGATCTCTTTCAGCAATAACCAAGCACATTTTCTCCTTTGGAATTAAAAGTTAATCTGTATATCAACAGTCATATAACCCAAGTATTAGGTTTTTTTGTTATAAAGTGATGATTTTTAAAATTTGGCAGAGGCTGGAAAATGGTATAAGTCGTGCTTGCTATATGTGACAGTACTACACTAATACACTTAATGGTAGATCTGGGGAGGTAGGAAAGACCTCCATACAATAAACTTTCAATGTAGACTTGGAAGGTAGTAGTGCTTTCTATGTGTCAGGTAATTCTTTGAAGTCAAAGTGTTAAGATACTTGGATATGCGGTCCCTGTTTCCTAGAAGAGAATTGGATTCCTTTTGAAAGTAGGAAGTTTCTAACTTGGCTAACAATAGCTTTTTGACTCACCATGTAAAATTTGGTGTTTGTGGTTGAGTGGATCACTTGGCCCAGGAGAGTTTCTTGACGTTCTCATTTAACCCCTGTAAGAATTCTGGATTCAGGCAAGTTCAAAATTAAAGTTTTTTGAGTGTGTACATTAATAAACTTTTTTAGTGTGAATTTTTTACTTAGCATTTTTACATTTACTTAGATGTGTACACATTATTTGGGCCATTCCCCCCACCCCCATTACTAAACACTAAGTGCTTCTCCCCCTTCCCCTTTCCTGAGAATACCAGAGGGACCGGGTAATTCCCATAGGCAATTCTGTAAGAATGGGGAAAGGAGGTGAGAAGTAGGTGAGATCGGGTTCCTGCCTTATTTTGGGTGCTTTATGCTTTCATCAGAGTAATTGCAAACTACAGAAAATGGCTTTGCATCTGCTGGACAGCCAGCATGTGAGTCAGGCGAGCCTGAGGTTAGGGTGCCCCAGTACGCTCTGATGCGGGCGGAAGCGCTGAGTTTGGGTCTGACAGCGGTTCTCACCTGACCCAGTCCTGCTTGACCCGACTTAGGGGCCCAGAGGCGGGGCCTCAGTTCCTGGGAATCGGCCTGAAATCCAGGCTCCGCTGTCCCCGCCCCGCCGTCCAGGCCTGGGAAGGCAGGCTGGGTCTGCGTCCGGAGGTCAGGGGGCGCGGCGCCCCGATGCCGCGGCCGGTCCCCGCCCCGCGGAGCCCCACCCCCGCCGGGCTGCCATCGCCCGCCCCTCGGACCGTCGGCTCGGAGCTCGTGGGCGCCGTGCACCGCCGCCGTGTCGGCTTGGACGCCCAGGCCAGGAGCCGGGTCCCGGGCCCGGACGGATGCGGCTCGCGCTCTAGCGGCCCGCGGGGGGCGGGGAGGCCGCCGAGAGGAGGCGGAGCTGCGAGGCCCGCGCCCGGGCCGCCACCACCGCGGTCCCCTGCGCTCCGCCCCGCTCGTCGCCGCACGCCCCCGCCCGCCCGCCGGGCCGGCCTGCCTCCTCCGCCGCGTCGGCGGCCTCCCCCGCGTAGCTGCGCTACCGGAGGAAGCGGAAGACCGCGCGAGCCATGGAGGGGAACCGGGACGAAGCGGAGAAATGTGTGGAGATTGCCCGGGAGGCCCTGAACGCCGGCAACCGCGACAAGGCCCAGCGCTTCCTGCAGAAGGCCGAGAAGCTCTACCCACTGCCTGCGGCCCGCGGTGAGACCCCGGTGCCCCCCCTCCCGCTGCCCGCCCCGCCCCGACCGCCCCCGCCTGACCCCGGCCTGGCCTCGTCGCCCCGGGCGCCCTCTGCACCGCCCGCCTGTGGGTCGTCGGTTCCTGTCCGTTTTCGAAAGCGTCCATCCATCCCCCATCCCCCAAGAGCTGACTTGTCTGGTTCCGTCTTAGCAGAGTGGGGCTTTGTATACTTTATATGGGGTGCTAATTATATGACCCTCACTCTCCGCATCCTCACCTCCGAGTAACGCCTAGGCCCCTGATGAAGTGAGAGGAGCACGGGGAATGCTAGTGGCTAATCTCAGGCTTCACCATCCCTGGGTTCTGTAGAAAAGTGTTCCCCAAGCAAACATCTTCAAATACCTGAGATGACATTGCTTTTCCCTGGGGGGGGGGGGGGAGAGAGAGAGAGAGAGAGAGAGAGAGAGAGAGAGAGAGAGAGATCCTTTACAAGAGAGGAACACACAGTTGGCAAGAATGCCCAAGATTTATTAATGATTTGCTAAATAGAATCTGATTTATTAACACCATGATTATGGACAAATTAGGTAAATCTCTAAGGAACAGGGTCCTGGGCTTGTTTTGGTTGAATTTGCCTTATTCATCGTCCTGCTCTCTAGGCTTCAAAGTAACATAACCAACATAAGAACACTTGAGGTGCAAGAGTTGTGCCTAGCATTCTGTACGAATTATTTATTTTTCGGTTCAGTCCTGGGTAGAGGTATAGTATTCAGTAGACCAGATTTACCCACGTGAAAAGACATTTTTGGTGAATGAATGAATGACTATTTCTTACCCATGGTCACAGAGGACATGGCCTAGTCAGAATAGTAGTTGAACTTTCAGACCCAAGACCTCTAGCCACACCACTCTACTGCCTTGCCAACAGACCATTTCTCTAAGGTTCAAAGTATTTCGACGTTCAGAAGGTTCAGAACAAAATTACTAATACATTCACAAGCGTGTGGGACTCTGTTTTACTTTGTTTTCTTTATTTTACATCGTTCAAACTCTTTGTCTTTTCCCTTTATTCTTTACATCAGCATTGGAAAGAGGACAGGAAAAGGAAGTGAAAGAGAAGAAAGTTATTATTTTTTTAATTGTAAAAATTGCACTATAACATTTACTACCTTAGCCATTTGTAAGAGTCCCGTTTGGTGGTGGTGTTAAGTATGCTCACATTGTTGTGCAGGGGATCTTCTGTACTTTTTTAATCTTACATCCCCTGACACTATACCAATTAAATAACTCCTCTCTGCTCCCTGTCCCCATCCCCTGGCAACCACCATTCTACTTGCAATTTTTATGGCTTTGACTACTTTAGATACCTTATGTAAGAGAACTCATGCAGTATTTGTCTTTGTGTGACTGCTTATTTCACTTAGCAATAATATTCTCAAGTTTCGTCCACATTGAAGCTTGTGACAGAGTTCATTTGTCTTAAATGTTGAATAATATCCCACATTTTCTTTATCCATTCATCTGTCAGTGGACATTTGGGTTTCTTCTACCTCTTGGCTTTTGTGAATGATGTTATTATGCAAAGATCCTGAGTTCAGTTCTGGATATTATACCCAGAAGTGGGATTGCTAGATCATATGGTAATTCTAACTCTAATTTTTGAGGAACTACCATCCTGTTTTCCATAGCAGCTGGTTCCAGTTTCAAAGCATACTCCCTAACACTTATTTTCTGGTTTTTGCTTGTTTTGGTGGTAGCTCTTCTAGTGGGTGAGAGGTGACATCTCATTGTGGTTTTGATTTGCATTTCCTGATGATTAGTAATCTTATAACGCTTGTTGGCCATTGGTATGTCATCTTTGGAGAAATGTCTGTGCAAGTTTTCTGCCCACTAAAAACTCAGGCTATTTGGTGTTTGTTGTTACCGAGTTGTAGGAGTTCTTTATATTCTCTGAATATTAACCCTTATCAGATGTTGGCTTGCTGATATTTTCTCCCCTTCTGTAAGTTGTGTTTTCACTCTGTTGATTGTATCAATTGGTGCTTAGAAGTTTTTAAGTTTTATGTAGTCCATTTGTGTATTGTTGCTTTGTTGTTTGTGCTTTTAGTGACATACCCAAGAAATCATTGCCAGAGTTGATATTTTTAAATTGTCCCGTACTGTATGAATATATGACTTCATTTAGTTATTATGTCGTCCTAGAGGGATAGTTTTAACATTAAAAAAGTAGTCACTCTATACTGAGTAACTTAACTTTGGGAGCCTGGTCCTTCACCAACTACTGGCTCGTACCTTTTACTTAGTCAAATTAGACATCCTCTCTAATCCGCATTTGTACAGTGGGGATGCTGTACCAGTTTCATAATGTTGTGAGGATTAAATGGGTTAATACATGTAAAGCATCTAACAGTAACCACTCAATTAATTTTGATATGGCCTCCATTTTATAAGGATGAGGACCTGAGAATACTGTGTGTGTGTGTGTTTGTGTGTGTACTGGAGTTCAAACTCAGGGCCTTGTATTTGCTAGGCAGGTGCTCTACCACTTGAAGGACCCCTCCAGTCCTTTTTGCTTTATTTTTCAGGTAGGGTCTTCATTCTTTGTTCAGGCTGGCCTGGATCAGGCATATGCCACAACTCCCAACTTTTGTCCATGCCAGCCTCAAACCATGATCTTCCTGACCTCTGCCTCCCCAGTAGCTGGGATTATAGTGATAAGCCACTGAGCCTGGCAGGATCTGAGGATTCTTAACACCTGACCAAATTTAACAGTGGCATGTAAACAACCTGAATCAAGCTACTAAAGAATACTGTAAAATATCAAAGCACAACAGTTACTGCTCTTCAAGACATGAACATAGGAGAAATTCAGAAACGTAAGAGGGAAAGTCAGTGGCACAAATGTATCGTAAGGGCAGTGTGTAATTACCCAATAGAGTGATAGGGTATAATTGTGAGGTAGTCTAAAAACATTCATTCTGATGCAGACTTTGTCTCTGACATATTTATAATTGGGGACGAGTTACTTAGCTTTTCTAAGCTTTAATTATATGCAAAATGAAGATGTCATCACAGTTGATGTGACCTGAAATAAAACTATGTGCAAATACTTAGGAAAGCACATTTTAAATAGAATATTCTCAGAAGATGTTTATTGGAATAATTTAAGAATTCAGGAGGGGGGAAGATCTAGAACATTTGTGAAAGTCCCTGTTAAAAATGCACTATAGAGAAGGAACTGGAACTATTAGTTACAATGAGATTTTAAAATTTCATCCCCGAATTTCATCTATTCTGGAATACCACTAAACCCTTATAACTCAGAAATTTGACTTAATTTTCTTCTGGATGTCCTTATATTAAGGCAAAACAAAATACTGCATTTTGATATCCATTATTCTTATGTTACAGAAAATGGAAAAATATGAGACTAAATTATAAGCTAAATTCCAAGGTTTTTTTTTTCCTCTTAAAATTTTATTCTTGTTATGTAAAAAAGAAGTCTGGTTGAAAAAACTTTTTCTTTCTTTTTTTTTTAAATGTTTTTATTTTTATTTGCAGTACTGGCATTTCAACTCAGAGCTTCCAGCAGGCACTCTACCACTTGAGCCACACTCCCAGCCCCGACTGATAAAAGACATTGTAATAAGTTGGAAAGAGTTTTCCTTGAGGAAAAACATCTCTAAATGGATCTAGGACATTGTTACTTTCCATGTTTTTAGTTGAGAATATTATTTTACAGAATGCTTATTAAAGTGTACTTTTGAAATTTCAAATGTTCATATCATGAGTTTAGGTTTAAAATGTTAATATGTATGAATAAGTATACTTAGGAAATACATTTTGGTAAAATATCAGGAGACAGCAAGTTATGTTTTGGCTTCCCAAACTGCATGTTTCTTGAAGTATTGATAAGTTTTGGACTTTTGTAGAGGGATTTAGTCTCAAAGTTATAATGCTTAATTTATACTGCTATTTTTTTCTTTTTCTTTTTTTTTTTTTGGTACTAGAGTTTGAACTCAGGGCCTCACACTTTCCAAGGCTGGCACTCTACCACTTGAGCCACTCCACCAGCCCTGGTTTTTTTGGGGTGTGTGTCAGGTATTTTTGAGATAGAGTCTCCTGAACTATTTACCTCAGGCTGGCTTCAAACAGCAATCCTCCTGATCTCTGCCTCCCAAGTAGCTAGGATTACAGGCATGAGCCACCAGTGCCTGGCTGCTATTTTAATATTTTAATTTTTCATAGTAATTGAGGGGGACAGTTTGAAGTATACATTTTTAAAAGGGAAAAGCAGTTTCATTGTTTTTAAGAATATCATAGTTTGAACCAAATTGTGGCCTACAGCATCAAAAGAAGCCATTCTATGTTTAATGAAGAGATAAGCTTCTTAAATGGATAATCTGTAATTTGCACCATCAATCCACACCATAGCAATAAAAGTAATCCTTTTTGTTTTTTCCCTTGTGTGTGAGATGTGTGTCAATTTTTATTTTTTGCCACATTCTTCTCCTTTTTGTCTCACTTAGAATGGTGAATTCTTTTAAACATCATTATCTATCTGGAGTACTCTCCATCGTAGTCTTTTTAATATAATTCCATTCTTTTTCCAATTGGCTCAGTTGAAATATAGTGATGAGTACAGATTATACATTCAAAACAGTCATTTCTACATCATCAAGTTAAGTGTTACAAATGAATTTCTAAAATTCAGTGAGTAGTCTACCTAATTCAGATGTTAGAGTGGAAAGAATACTGAATTTGGATTTGAACCTTAATTTAATACTAGTGTGACTTTGGGTATATGAATCTTTCTGAACCTCAATTTCCTCATCTATAAAATGGGGGTTATTTATTCAACAGATGTTTATTGTGTGCATATTTTTCCATTGCAGGCAGTATCCCAGGGTAGAGGAATTCAGTAGGCATTAAGACAAAGTCTTTGCTTTTGGAGTTTACATTCTGGAGGAAAATTAAGTATCTGTTGGTTTCTTTCATCTTTTTTGGAGCCTCATTTTTCT